AGTAACCATCCATGTCCTAGGGCAAAATCTTTCTCTTTCCATTTTTTTTTTTTTTTTAGTTGCAGATGGACACAATACCTTTTTTTTTCTATTTACTTATTTTCTGTGGTGCTGGAGGTTGAACCCAATGCCTCACATGTGCTAGGCAAATACTCTACCACTGAGCTACAACCCTGGCTGCTATAAAGAAGTTTTCTCTAGAGAACCTCTATATCCTTAGCAGCTTAATGCTGATCAAGTTTTAATTTTAGGACACATATCAAATCACAATGCTACTTGTAGAGTCCCAACAAATGAACTGGCCTCTAACAAAGCTCACAAAGTGACCTTTGCCTTCATGAAATCACCTCTGAGCCCAATACAAATCTATACTTGTCAGAAAGTACCAGCACAGAACTTCCAGCACATGTTCCTTCACTTGCCTATTTTTGTAATACCCTTTTTATGATACTCTCCTGAAGATATATTTTTTCTTTAGATTTATGAATGTCTTCTTTAAGTCTGACTATAGTTAATAATCAAGAGTTCTACTAATGGGACTCTGCACATCTTTACTCTGAACCATTGTGAATTAATTTCATAGCTTAATTATTGGAGGATAATTTTAGAAGTGGGCCAATTTACAACTGACCAAATTTACTAACCAAAAGTTTGCTCTAGATATTTCATTACTATTAATACATCTGATAAACATGAATGTGAGCATATTCAATGACATGTTTTTATTAACATTTTATATGTATATATGGAGAGAGAGGATGGATATGGTATGTGTAAATGGATACATATCATCTTAAATATATTCAATGTATTTAAAACTTCTTTTGGATATAGTTCCATTATTAACATATTTCAAATTAAACTCATTCATTTCTAATATTTTAAGGGTGTTTTTTTGCCCATAGATCAATACGTCTAGTTCATCACTTGGGATAAATTTTCTACATTTGCAGAAATAACAAAAACTGAAAACTTAAAAGGATATAAAGTTCCAAGCAATTTTTGTGAAATGTTAGTTGACAGATTCTCACTTTGTTTTTCCAGCAGTATTGTTAAATGCTCAGATTGTTTCTGTTCTAGTTTCTCTGCTCCTCCTGCAGAACTGCATTTTAACATAATTATTTTCCTTTGTAAGTGTGTACATTTTATTTAATGCATTTAACAAAAAATTGTGTGAAGGTGTCCATGGTCTTCATTATATTGTCAAAGGGACCCATGGCAAAGTCAAGGTAAAGAACTCCTGGGCTAATGGGAAAGGTAGGAAAGAATGAGAGAAGCAGGGAGGAGATTCAGCAGATAGCCTGATCTGGGTCCTAATGGGAAGAGAAATTGAGCAATAGAGAAAAGGCACATGGACTTAAGTCTTGGAAACTAAGAAGCATGGCTCCTATATGGTTTTGCCAAATGAGTTATTTTTATACATTTGTAAATTAGCATTTTGAAAACTTGATCCTTCTTTGAATTGACCAAAAAACACCTTCCTGACTTGCTAGAACACCTCTAAAATATATATGAAATAGATAGCTTTTGTAAGTCTTTTGTTTCTTTCATTGTATTGGTTAAGGTAGTGCTATAATGAGATATCTGTTCACACCCCTGAGGACAGCCATGACCAAAAAGGCAATAATATGTATAACAATAATAAAATATGAAGAAATTGGAAGCTTCACATATTACCCTTGGGGATGTAAAATGGCGCAGTCATTTTGGAAACTAGTTTGGGCACTACTTCAAATGATTAAACATAGTTATCATATGTGTCAGTCAGCTTTTCAAGGCTGTGACTAAAATATCCAATAAGTACAACTTAGAGAAGGAGAAGTTTATTTTGGGTTCACACTTTGAAAGTGTGAGAGTTTCAATCCATAGTCAGTGGACTCCAGGGTTGTGGGCCTAAGAAAGGGCAGAATGTCATGGTAAAAGAGCATGGCAGAGGACTGCTGCTCAACTCACAGCATCAAGGAAGCAGAGAGTGGGGAGCCAGAGACAAAATATAATCCCCAAGGGCGTGCCCCAGTCACATGCCCTAGACCTACTTCCTTCAGTCACACCCCACCTGCCTACAGTTACCACCCCATAGTCCATTCAAATTATCAATCCAAGTAAGATTATTGCATTGATTAGGTTACAGCTCTCAGAATGTAAGCATTTAATTTCATCACTGAAATTCCTGAATTGCATAACACTATGAGCTTTTCAGGGCATACCTCATATCATTATATATGTTGGTCATATGGTGTTATCAAATCACAATGTCATGTCACCTACTAATTCTATGCATTTGCCCAAGAAAGATAAAAACATGCACATGAACACTTGCATGTAAATGTTTATAGCAGCATGATTCATAATAGTTAAAAAGTGCAAACAACTCAAACATCCCTCAAGTGATAAAGTGGATAAATAAAATGTGGTAGATTATATTATTTGACAGTATAAAGAATGAAATACTAATGCATACTATGAAGTAGTATGATACTACTTCATAGATGACCTTAACACTTTATGCTAAGTGAAAGAATTCAGTCACAAAAAACAACATATAATTGATTCCATTATAATTAAATGTAGGCAAATGCATAAAAAGAGAAAGATTGGTGGGGATGCTAATTCACAATAAGTGGTGGTAAAGGTGCTCCCTCTCTCACTGTGAGGATAAGTGCCGGCAAAGCCACGCTGGTGGGTAACAGAACCCTTTTTTTATGTAATTGAGAATTTTCATTTTCATGCTCCTTTTCCCAACAGGAGGCATGAGTATGTTTAATGCCAAACCAAATTAAATTTCAGATGGCTAGAACACAACAGGTAGTTCATGCCTTGAAGGATGTTCTACTACCCCTCAGCATTTTGAGGACAAAATAGAAGGCTGTTCTTCTATCTCAGCACATTGGGGACAAAACTGATAATGGACAACAATCATTTTCTGAAAGCTCACGAGAATTTTAGGCACCACATTGATTATATCAACTAAGAACACAAGCCCATATTTCCGGCCTCTTAGAAAGCCTAATCATTATGCTTATTGCACAAAGCCCACCATATGTAGGTTTATTCAATTAAGGAAAAGTTATGTTATATAGCTAGGGAAGTTAAGACATATAAAGATACATTCTCCTCTTTTCTGTAAATCCTCTTTTACTTCACATAGGGACTTATGATGAGCATAGTTAATATTGTTGATAAGTGGACTGATATTTAGAATTGCCTTTCACTGAGAGAGATTACAAAGATATAAGAATGAGTGCACCTTGACTAAGAAACAAAGAAACTCTTTGAGAAATCAGTTAAACCAGTTTTATGAGAATAAATGTAGGAATTAAAGTAGTACGACATTTTTAGAATAATGTTAGAAGTATTATTTTATTTAGATTCTTGGGTTTAGAATTCTTAAGTTTTTAGCTGTATGCTTTCCTAATATGCTTTAAGAATAGTTTATAGACTTTAGGATATTTTAAGTATAATCTTTAAGGGGACTTCTTTAGATGGGAATTTTAGATTAGGAAATAAAGTACAGATGTACTTTAAACTTAAAGGTTAATGAAAGGTTAGGAGACTTAGTGTCTGCTTATGTAATTTGGCATCTGTTAATAAGAAAATTGTATATCTTGGGAAAAATAGTGCATCTTGGGAAAATCTGAAAACTCTTAATTAGTGTCACATTTTATTAATGATTTTGTACCCTTAATAATTGATAAGTAAATGTCACATCTTGGAAAAATGGAAAGAAATAACTATATTATCTCTTAGATCTTAAGATTGATGTATGGGTCTATCTTAGTGAACCACTGAATATAGGAAATGGAATCATTTCTATTAACTGATAACATTAGGCAAATTGAATAACATTTTGTTATTAAAAGAACAATATGTGAATTGGGCAGCCCTCAGAACCAGCAGAGCTTCAGGAGATCTTTTCCATAATATGAGCAGGTAGCATTTCTGGATAGAAAATGAAAGTGAGGTAGAGAAAAATTTGATTGGTCACTGCGTAGTGGCCTTATTTGAACATGTTCTGATCAGGTGGCAGCCTGTGATTTACTGAAGCATGGCTACAGTAATTGTCTGAGACTGGCCATTTGTTACAAAAGTATACTCCTATATTAGGTCCTGTGTTAGTCCATATATTATATTATATTAGTCAGCTTTTCATCACTGTGACCAAAATCCCTGACAAGAACAACTTTGAGGAGGAAAAATTTATTTTGGCTCACAGTTTTAGAGGTCTCTGTCTATGGTCCTCTGTCTCCAATGCAAAGGATACCTGTTCAACTCATGCCAGTTAGGAAGGAGAGAGACAGAGAGATCCACCAGGAGAAGAGAAGAGGGTGCCAGCAGGGAGAACAAAAACCCTTCAACTAGGTCCCACCTCCCAGTAGTACAATCAGCTATCAATGATGGATTAATCCACTGATGAGATCAGAGCCCTCAGAATCCAATCATTGCCTGAAAGCCTCACCTCTGAACCTTGTTGCACTGGGAACCAGGATTTTAGCACAGAAGTTTGTTTGTTTATTTGTTTGTTTTTGAGGAGAGCACATTCCAGATCCAAACCATTACACATACTAATTTAAGTTGCAGTTCTGAGAAGAGAGTCAGAATAAATTTAGTTTAATTTAATGCTTCCTTGAGAAACAGAATATGTTCCATCAAGGATGCTCACTTGGGTTCAATTCTTAAACACCACTAGCACTTGCTAGCTATGAAAGCATGGACCAATGACTCTTTGATCTTTGGTTCCTTCATGAAAAATGAGAATAATAATACCCCCATCATAAGGTGTTCTGAGAATTTACTTATATGCAGAAATCTCTTGGCACAGCATCTAACTTGTAATAAGTATTGAATAAATAATAATTACACAATTACTGTTTACATTTATTATTATCATTATTTACAATGGTTTCTAATCAAATGCTTTCCTCTTAGAGTAGGCAAAAGATCTTTCATGGCTGTTGACTGTTCTTCTCAAGCCCTGTTGATGTGTGCTGTTCTCTTCACAGGTGCAACATAAGAGGTATTATGCAATTCTTAAGCGTTTACATTGTCAGGTGAACAAGCTTCAATCAAATAGAAGACAATGGCAATGGAACATTCAACAGCTGGAAAAAACTGCAGCTGAACTAAGAAAATGTATTGGAATGAAAGAGTGACATTGCCATTGGGCTATACGAAACACAGACCATGACAACAAAACTTTCTCCAGAATTTTAAGAAAACCCTTTGGTTGCTTAACAACCAGCATTCACTGGCATAGGCCTGTCTAAATGACAGATGCGTTTTCTCTTTTTTGAATCAGTTATCTGTTGGTTAAAGTACCTCCCAACCTTACAACGGATGGCACTAGATAGACAAAAGCAATGCTTACAAGAAAACAGTGGAAGGACAAGTGTGAATAATATATTATGCTTACATCTTTTTAAATACCTTTATTTTGTGTATTTTTATGTAGTGCTGAGGATCAAACCCAGGGCTTCACATGTACTAGGCGAGTGCTCTACGGCTGAGCCATAGCCCTGACCCCCATTGTGCTTACATTTTAACAATGTTATATTCACTACTCTACAAAGTAAAAAATTAGAAGAAGAGAAACAATCGGATTTTCAGTAATTTAAATTGGGTTGTTTTCAAAGTTTTTATTAGATCATGCTTTTTTACGACTGCCTTCATAGTAGCCCACAAATATTATTATTCACAATGATATTATTATATATTTAATGTTCCAGATATTTCACTCAGATTTCTCTTTTATCCAGAAGGTAACAATCATTTTTTCTTTCTTATTAAATAACATATTTTAGAGTATTGCAATGTGTAATATTTTTTTCCTTTTTCTGTCTATACATACTTTATTCTACTGTGACTAAATTAAAGTTACAACATTATGTAAAGCAAAAATACAAGCAAGTTCTTGAAAGAAGTTAACTAATATAGACAAACATTTTCATTCACTCAGGAAACATATTATGTCCATGGCAATAATTCAAATGTTAAACTTTTTCTTTTAAAATAAGTTATGGCTATTTCATGGCTCCAATGAGCTAAATACTTGGTGGCAAAAACAAAATATTAATTATTGCAGGGACTGTTTTAAATATTCTCTAGTAGGATTAAATGATTTCAAAGCAACATCAACAAGTCATTTCAAATCCTTTTTCTCCTCACCTTTCTATGTGCCTGAGATTCATACTAAGTGTAGTTGATATAAACTTGATATAAATAATCTCATTATGTCTGACATTAATACTCTTATCATGGCTTAGCCTGGCTTACTGTGGTTAACATTTCAAATAGCTTATCCTGTAACATAATCAGCTTTGGTCCATGACTCAGAAACACAGCTACAAATGAAAATGGTTAAACTTACAGATTGTAGACAGTACCCACTAAAGTCAGCTAGAGATAAGGCTGATATAGATTCTGATCATATAATATATATTTTAATATAATTTGTAGGTTAAGAGTTCTTATATTGTCACTTCATAATTTTAGCTATACCTTATAAGAGAAAAATTTTCTAAACTTTTTAAGTTTATCATGAGATTCAAAACATTTATACATGATAAATAACACCTTGAGTTGTAGTTTCAAGAAAATCCAATGTTTCAGAAGTGACTGCATTAGTTGAGCGTTGTCAAGAGACCACAGAAAAGGGGCAAATAGATCCCAGATTGCACAGAGTACAAGTTACTGGGGACTTACTGACACAACCATGGTCAAGAGTGACAACAAGACTAGTGGATCCATATCAATGTGGGCTTAAAAAGAGTGGCTTTCACCCAAGTAGAAGTATACCTGGATTTATTGCAAGCTAACATCAAAGATGTCAGGCATATTCCTGGAGCTGACAGTGCTAGGGTCTGGTCGTAAAGCTTTACATACTTCTCTAATGATTTTGTTAATCTGTCATAGTCTGGGTAACTATAAGGCAAATAAGCCAGAGGTTTCTCAGAGGCACCCATGGTGGCTACAATTCAAGATGGTTGCATTCAGGTTCACTTTTAAACTAAGATAAAAAAATATAGAGAGGTCTAATCTACTTCAGATAATGTCATTTTTAAAAGTATCAGTAATAATAAATGCAATTATTTTTAATATTGAGGCAGTTCAATTATTTGAGAGAAAGCATTTTTTTTCTCTTCGTAATCTTTAACATGATTTCAGATAGTGGAGAGTTTCATATTAATCAAGAACTAAAATACGAAGTGACCTCAAACCTAGTGAATTGGTAGATATGACATTTCAGCTCCATCATAAAGCCTAAGGTTGGAAAATTGAAGTTTTTTATTTTTATTTCCGTATAACTGAATCTAGCTTAGAATATGAGACCTTTAGCCTAGTGTTCGGATAGACTCTCTTTTGTTACTATAATAGCATAACTGAGGCTGTTTAGTGATCAAGAAAAGAATTTAGTTAGCCCATAGATTAGGAGGCCAAAAGTACAAATAGGATACTTTGGCACCAGCTCTGGCAAGGGCAAGGGCCCCTCTTGCTACATTACCTCATGGCAGATGGCATCATGGTGGGAGCATGTACAGGAATGACAGATCATATTGCAACATGGGAATTCAAAGAGCCACTGGGGACTACTTGAGGTTCTAGGGGAACTATGCAATCCCCGAGGACCTAAGGACTTTCCTCAGTGCCTACCTCTTAAAATCCCACCATCTAAACATTACCACACTGAGGACCAAGCCTCCAATATATCAACCTTATATATACAAACCATCTCATGGTCTTTCTCATGTGTTTCTGTTTTAAAACTCTCTTTGGGGTCACCACTCAGTTCATAATTCTCGTCCTCATTTTCTTCTCCTGGGAAATGGTAAGTTCCTGAGGAGTTTAAATTGCTTTGTCATCAGAAGCAAGGCTGTGGCCCAAGTGCCATTCTCTGACATCACTGGCCTCTACAGAAACAGAATCCATTCTTCCTGGTCTTAAGTATCATCTCTGTCAATGTTATACCTGCAGTCTTTCCTCTGATCAATGAAAACTACTTCCTTGTCCAATCACAATCCTTCAAAAGCTGATTCAAAGAATATTGTTTTTAATACATACTTTAAGAAGTATCTGTCTTCACCCCGGCCTGCTAGGTGCTATTACTGAAATTATAGGGAAAAGGTAACTAATGCAAGGAAGCAGAGGGAGAAAAAAACTCACAGTTAATATCTCAAAATATTACAAATGAAACTATGTGCAAATTATAGCTGATATCTCAAAATATTACTACAAAAGCAAGCTGTGGGCAAATTAATGGACCAATATTCAGAAATTGATATCTACTTTGCAGCCATATCTTAACACCATAGAAAGATTTTACATATTAAATCCAGTCACATTAACTATCATGGACACTTGCATGGTGAACATAAAGTACCTACATGTTATCTTTTCAGCTGTGTTTCTTCTAGTCCATTTATTAGACATGCTATTTTCCAAAATACTACTGATATGAAAACAACACTTAACAACAGTAATGTGTTCATAAACTATGAATTTCATATTTGGCAAATTTTGTACTTTATTTCATTGAATTCCTAAAATAATGGTATAAGGTATACGTTATTATCCCCGGTTTATTGATGGGGGAAATGAGGCTAGACAGGTAATGCAACTTTCCTAAGACCTAATCACACAACTCATGATGCAGAGATAAAATTTAAAGTCCTATTTTAGTTACATGGAAATACAAGAAAAAGATTCTAAGGGTAAGAGCAACTGTACTATAAATTAGAAATAATTCATGTTTATATTTCACCTGTCATTTTCATAGATTGTAAAGCATAAATGGATTTAATCAAAGAGAAATTTTATGGTTAAAAATAATCAGCCCTAAAATGCATAGTAATTCTACATTAAGTTTGGTGTCTGAAGAAGCATTTTGGTTAAGGAAAAGAGCATTCTGCTTATAAAAACTGCTTTGGAAACTTTTGAAATTCATACAGGAAATTGCAATTGAATTTAAACTAAGTTCCTTATCATCTTATAGTGAATGTGGGCTTCACTGCTCATCCATAAAACTTATTAAACTGCTATATGAATAATACAGTGATTTGGTGCTATTAGAAGTGGCAGTCCTTGTTTCATAAGAATGTGTGGTTTTGATTTGCTAGTTGCTCGTATTTTACTTGCTCCTATTTTCACTATTGTACTTTATTTTTCATTACTAAGGTAATGATTACTAAAGCCAATGATCAGAAGCTAGAAGTTATGTGCCTATCACAAATGACCTATGTGATTCGAATTCTAAGGGAAGTGTTTTTCTTTGCTGATGAACTTGGCATTATAAGAAACAGGTCTTCTATATGATATTAGCTACCATAAATAGTTTCTCTTGAACATTACTGAAACTATGACTAAAACCAAGAAAGGTAAATTAAAACTGATACTAATAGCACAATAGATTTAATCAATACATAGCTAAGAATGGGATGTTCCAAATTGCTTTTTCTTTTTTATAATGTTCCATTTAAATGATAGCTGTGAGCTTTAAAACTTTGGAAAAAAATTTTTTAAAAAGCATATGAATTGAGTTACTGTAATGACAGGGTTGCTGTTTACATAATCCAGTGAAGTCTGACATGCAGTAATTAGACTTCAACCTCTTAATTAATGAGATAATGTATTCCCAAAGCAAAAACCAGAGTTTGAGAGAGAAATCGTTTTAAAAAACTTCTTACCCAGAAGAAAAGAAAGCTCTCTGGCATAAAAATCATGTCAAAATTGGAATAAAACACTGAAATTGCAGAAATTTGCCTGCATTGCTCAATTTCATAGCACAAGGTAATTTAGAGGCCGTGATAATACACTGTCAGTCTAAAATATAAATTTTCCAATATTTTTTCCCAAAGTAAATAAGTCAAGACAATCATCTACTTTGTTTGCTAATATTTATTCTTCCCCTGACATTAGTCTACATGGAATAGACCCCTGTGATCCCTGTGCTTGTGTTGGAGAAGCCTCCTTGAGGTGTTTTCAAAACCTTTTCTCCCTAAATCTATAATCCTTCTTTCTGTATGTGACATTCAAAAAACAGCAAGCCAAAAATTTGCATGAGTTGTTTTGTCTTCCATGAGTTAGCATTAACTAGCTGATGTACAGATCTAGCTCCATGTCAGTATGTCTACTTGGTGGAAAATATCACAAAATTTTCTCTTTGTCCACCTTTTCCAGAGACTGACAGCCACTTCAGTTGTCCATCAATCCTTAAGGTGAGAACTATCCAAGAGCATCCCCATCCCTTAAATCTACTTTTGACTTTGCTGGACAGCTAGATAACATAGGTATTATTTTAATTTGTGGTTCATACAAATTTGCATAAAACTCTCAATTCTCAGAAAGACCCATTTTTTCCTAACCCATAACTTATTTAGATTATTCATCTAAGCCTTTCAGTCTCAGTCTGTCCATGTAGTTTACCCATGCACAGGTAATTACACCCATTACAATTGGTGTAATTCCCTCATGTTTCTTTTATCTATTTGCATCAAAAATACCACTTCCTCATTCAGACTCTTCCTTTTTCTGTCCTTGAACATCCATAAATTGCATTACCTTCAGGTTCCAATTCTCAAGTTTTAGAACTCCAAAGCTTCATCTACTGTTCTAAAGTGAGATCCCAAACATCAAAAACAATTTCTTCATTTCCAACTGCCTTATGCAAGAGAATCTACCGTTACTTCAAAATGCTTCACTGAGAGAAGCTTTCTCTGGAACATTGTACAATAGACACAGTTAATGTTCTGCCCAGATCCTCTCAGACCTTGTTTTCTCCTTTCCAAGCAGCCCTCTCCCTTTTGAGGCAT